ACCAACACTAATAACGAAACAAAAAAATAACAACCACAGCTAACCTGCACAAGTATTCATAGAGCCCAAAAGGAGAATACCATCAAAGGTTTATCCACAACTTCTGTAAGGGTTTGACAATCACATTGTAGTATCACCAGTTTGCAAAAAGGACAACAAATTCAGTCTGAACTCTAACCACTAGACTTGCACATTCAGCCTTGTGAAATGACAGTTTATGTGACCGCTTGGGGAGGAAAAACAAACAAACAAACAAACAAAAACCCCAAATAGTGGCTTCCCTCCCTCTGCAGGCATCACAGTTTAATGTGCTGCTGCAGCACATGGCAGTCATAGCTGGAAAGCCAATGCTAAGTGCAGTCCTTTGTACTGTGTAACATTCTCACAGTTACTATCCAACTTGCTCAGAAAAAGAAAGGCAAGAAAATAACATTAGAAACTGAAACAAAGTCAAACATTGAAACATCCTTCCCTTACAGTTTTTCTACAGCTTTGTGTTCTCCTGCTAGCAGCTGCACAACAAAAGCAGGAATCTGTCAGGCCATTGTGCCCTTGTCATTTAGATTTCTATACATTGATTTTCAGGGCATCCTAGTTTGAGATAAACAGAACCAATTCTGGTCACTGATTTTACTTTTCAGCTCAGTCTCTTCCAAGGGACTGCACTTTTTGAAGGTAACAGCATGGTTTTGCAGACAGTGCCTACTACTAGACATGTTAAGACCTGATGTTTGTAGTTACTACTAAGGATTTGCACGCAGAAAGGCTCTTGCTTATACTTGCTTCTACAGCAACCAAGGTCACTGAGAAATCTTGTGTGCCACATTGTGGGTGCCAGGAAGCAAAAGGGTCACAATAAGGTAAAAGGTTGCATCTCCAAAGAGGAACAGACAGGACACGTGACCAATACAGTTCGGTCCCCATGTGTTGCCTGATCTAGTCGAGAGGTGGTGACCCTTGTGACAGGGAAGCTGGATTAAAATGATCTCTAAGGTCCTTTCCAGCCTAGGCCATTATATGATTCTATCCAGTATAAAGCTGAGGGATCACACGGGTTAAGGTCTCGCTCTTCTGTTTCTTCAATGGCCAGAGTCCAAGGAAGACTCCATTTACGATCTTCTGTCTTTGATCCCAATCCTGAGCTCCAAAATCCAGCTCCTGTGCCTGATTCCCCCCTGCCACTGAGTCTGTGACTCCCTCAGTGTTGCCTGGTCTGCAGTGGGGATTGCTCTCAGGGAAAAGTTGGGCTTGATATTGGATTTGTATTTATTTAATTATTTTCATTATTTCCTTATTAGTATTGGGGTTTTTATTATTGTTTTATTAAAGCTGCTGTATTTTCCAATTCATAACTCTTTCTGTCTTATTCCCTTTCCCTTCACCTTTGGGGAGGGATAGGGCTTAGAGAGCATCTGTCAGCATTTAGTGGCCGGCCCAGCCCTAACCCTTGACAAGGGGAAATAGTTTGTTATACATGATATTAAATAAAAATAAAATTTAAAAAATGCTGTAACATACACAAATTTAAGTAACTTGTTTTGTCTCTTACTGACTTTAAAATTTTTCACAGTGTTTATGCAATGAGTTTATAGCAGAGCTGATCAACATGGGACTATCTTCTGCCTTATGAGAATATAATACAGTTGCACAATAGAGAATATGACAGGATATTAGTTCCCTTTATGCCTGTCTGAGAAATAGCTTTTGCTTGTCACGAGAAACCTAAACTCAGTTGGTAATACCACAGAAAGACTGAGAAGTTCACTTAAGATCACAGTACAACTTCAGCTTCATAGTTTAAAAAAAATGCTCAGGAGAGAAAATGCAACAAGAACAAACAGTTCAATATCTCTGAGTGAACTCAAATTCCCATGAACATGTTTCATTTTAAAAAAATAAAAGAAAAAAAGTACTGTGGTACTGTCCTACTCTCCTGGTGCATCTGAAGCTGACAAGATAGGCTGGCTTAACAAACCTTTTCCATCTGCTTAACTTACTAATAACACAACATGGTCAAGAAATC